AGTGGAGGTGTATCTCGAACCAAAGTTACTTTCACTATTACCCATTGCGTATTACGCAATACTTTAAAAACATGTTTCCTTATGGAAAAATCCAACTGTATACAATAGTTTTCCCTCTATATTTAAATGTCTTTCTCGACCAACAATGAATGACTCACCCTGCCCCACTTGTAGAATGGAATAGTTTATGTAAAACTCTACAAACTTAGTCTCAGTGTGAGACTTGGAGATTGAAGCTTGTGGTATCGTCTTGATGTAACATCAAATTAAATTACCTTGGGTTTTAAAAGTTCAAAATTTTATTCTTATCATACGTATGTTTTTAAAATGCTGAATGCACGTCATACCCTATATAATCATGTATTATTAAAAAATGCAACACTGAAATTGCAAAAAACAAAAAGACATGTCAAGCAGTAGAACACACTACCACTGGCAGCCTATTGGTCGAATGAGTGTCATATCTCAAATGATAGAGCCTCAGTACTGTATTATTTCAGTCCTATGTTGTTGGATGCATGCCATAAGTTAAGGAAAAGCATCTGAGTGATCAATTTTAAGTGTTGTTTTGTTGAATGTGTACATTGCCGAATTTATGGTGTGGCTTCCTCAACCATGATAAATCATTTGTAAATCATTTTTTATTCTCTATGTTAAATGTGTACAATACATCAAATGATATTGCCTCAAAATAATTACATCTTGTAATGCTGTTTCATTGACGGGGTACTGCTGGGGAGTTCTAGGATTTGCAGATGTGACAATATTTTAGCTAATAATCTGTTTGCGAGTACTAGTAAATAACTTGTGGAATCTTTCAAATGAAATCGGCTGAAAATGAAATCATGGAATTACGCAAAATTATGTTACTAATTTATTTTTTTATAGTTTTCTATTTCATATTATGGGATACTTTCTAGGGCAGAATTTGGGAGGGAGCAAACATACTAATATTATTGGATCACAATATATCACACTCTTATATACAGTAATTTTAAAGAATGTCTCTACTTTGGCATACTACAATATCTCACAATTTAATCTAGGTTATCAAAATGCGGGTAAGAGTACCTCATATCCCCCGTCTATCAAATTTCAAAAACATAGTATTAGCCTTTCATCGAGTGCATTTTGAACTACTGTAGCATATGGAAAACAAACATTTTTCCAGGGTGAGGGAGGGAGCAAATATTATAATATTATTGGATACTTATTTAAATAATTCAATTACATCTTATGTTACAAGACAGAAATTTTAGACTTTTATTATTTTTTATTCATATACACGACACTCTTTTTAACTGGTGGTACAGTATTTTTTTTTTTTTTTTCTGGTAAATGTTTTTGTTTCCCATACGCTGCTATACTATGACTATTATTATTTATTTTGTTTTTGTTTCCCATACGCTGCTATACTACGACTATTATTATTTATTTTATAATAAATAATAATAGTCGTAGTATAGCACAAAAACATTTACCAGAAAAAAAAATAATACTGTACCACCAGTTAAAAGATTAAAATAATATTTGTAGATATTGTTAGTGATTAACAGGATTGATTGTTAAGATTTCAAGTTGACACATGGCTCAGAAATTTGATTAAAAAAAATTGAATCAGTCCATAAACTCCATTTGTATATTTATTTGAACCTTTTTCAAAGGTGAATTTTCTCAAAGCACAAAAACATTTCCCTCACAGGGCTAAAATCTTGACTGCCATGCCATATATATATATATTATATTATTCTTTATTGCATGAGAATGATGAAATTTCCAGTTCCCAAAAGTGGTCTTGAATTGGATTCCATCTGATTTCGATCGTTTTAAATAAGCTATTCAATTTTTTAATTTGGTAGACAGCCTTTAATATAAACAGTACGATACATTTGGTATAATCAGTGTTTATTGCTATACAGCATAAGTATATGCCTATTACTTTTATTTATATTGAATTTGAACGAAATGTTTGTAAGAAATCAACATTGTAACAATACTGTACTGTGCATACGAGAGATTTTGGCCTACCTTACTACAGTATACAACGTAGCTTTCACATCACAGCAATTTCATATTCCGCAAGCAGCGAACACTGCTTTCGTGACTCGCGAGGGGAAGCCAGTGAGCATATTCATGAATATCAGTTCACCAAACTGACCTAAAATAGTGACCCCTGTAATTTTTGCCTTAAGTGTATGGGAAAAAATAATGCGCACGGCACTGCCTTGCTAGTACTGTATTTTTACCATCTAAATACCTACAGTTCATAGATAAAATAGTATTTGCAGAAAGTGTTGGTGATTAACAGAATGTAACTGAATGTTGGCACAGCATCTGTTGAAAAAGTTGAAAAGTGTATATAAAAATATTATGCTTAGTGTACCTGTATTTTTATTATGGATGAAGTTAAGATTTCAAGTAGGCATGTGTACATTTAGGTCTCGGGATGAAGCAAGGCTCAGAAACTGGATATCCAATGAATCAGTCCATAAACAAAATTCAGAACTTCGTTTATTTCAAAGGTAAATTCTCTAAAAACATTTCCCTCACAGGGCTAAAATGTACAGTAAATTCTCTCAAAACATAAAAACATTTCCCTCACAGGGCTGAAATCTTGAAAACCACATACAGTATTTATTCTTAATTGCAAGACAATGAATCAGTCCATAAACAAACATGCAGTATTTCGAAACATAAAAACATTTCCCTCATAGGGCAAAAATCTTGATAGCCACATATATACTTATTATTTATTATTTATCAGGGGTCCCAAGTTGGAAGAAGTCAATTCCGGGATATAGGTTGATTTCCGGGAGGTTCTTGCTTGCTTGTGGGAGTGCGGGAGGCCATCCCAATTCCCGGGAAAGTCAGTTAAAATCAGTAAACACTGTATTACTATAAAAATCTACACATGTTCAACAAGGAAGCTTTTGTATTGTGAATTCAATATTCTGGCACAATTATCATTGTGTTAATTATGAAGATTCATACAGAGTGCTTTCTGCACTGTCTATTTTATCACTGATTTTTTCTTGAAGGGAGCCAATTTTATGAGTAGATGCTTTATTAAGACATTTTGATAACAAAAATGACAATGAAGCAGTAAATGCACAGGGAATGACACTTTAAAATGTAACTATGTTACATGTGCTTAAACCACATTAGCAGGACAACAACAATCTAATTTATACAACTCCAATAATTAAGAAAATATACATTACTGTATTATCAATCCTATTAATTATACACCCAAAATATCAAATTAGTGTACTTTATTTGGCAAAAATCAGTTTACATACATTTAAATTCTAAGACGTATTGTCCCCTAAAAATCAACTTCTAAGTAAAATAACAATTATTAACTTGAGCAGTGATATGTTGATATACCTGTACTGAATTTGAGTTTTTATTCAAAATGAGCAAGTTAATTTCAAATTTAATTTTTTCTTTTTTTTTTTGACTATTTTTCTGGGTACAATACATCTTTTAATTAATATCAATGTAGGTAAATCATATATTCTACCTTCAAACTACATACATTTCTCCTCAAGGATGGAAAATAAATGACTTTCTATTAAGTGGTGTTCAGATTACCACGTTCATGTGTCATACAGCAATGGTACGTTCTGCTCACCCCATCAAGTGCTACATAGCACATGGGTGTGACATCATGTGGTAGTTTGGAACCTGGGTGGTGCCAGCAGGGAGAAAAACCACAATTCGTCATGCAGAAAAAAATTATGTATATTTTCTACATAATAGTAAACTCTAAAATTGATTAAATAAAGCCTTTGAAACTTATCATATTGCTCAGGGTTATGAAAGGTTTTCCCACTTTACTCCTGTCAGGGATATCGAAGTGGGTGGAGCAAACATAAAAGGCACATCTGAATATATATAAAGCCATTATTATTAACCCTTTATTTTGACACAGCCAAGAGTTTGCTATTCTACAAGGCTGTGTTGGCATTGTGAAACTTTAAAGCAAAACAAAATCAAGGTGGAAAAGCAAAAACAGCATTTTCAGCTGCATTAAGTGGGAAAAGTACAAAACTAAACCACTTTAAAAAGCAAGATCATGCATTCAATACAGGCACATCAAAGAGTATACAACTGCCAGAGGTCCGACTCTTACCCCGGTATTCTAAAAACAAACTTTAGTCGTAGTTCGAGCTAAAACTTAAAAAGTGTCATTTCTTATTCTTAAAATGGAACTTTGACTAGCACTGCACTACAACTAAATGACGAGAACCTCAACTAAAATGATACCTCCGCAGGATGAATTTTTTAGTCAGCCTAGGGTCAGACTAAATCGCTGACTTGAAATATTTACCCCACTAAAAACGTGTTTTTGTAACTCACGATAAAGTGAAACGAACAACGACGATTGTATATGCAGGTTTGATATATCTTTGGTGTGTTTAACAAAAGAGACATCAAGTTTAGCTTCCAAAAGGAGAAATTAACATGTTTCACTAGCTGCTTGCAATAGTTCCAGATTTGCACGTAATCCCCTCGCGTTGCAATTACCTAGCTTTACCATAACAACAAAGATGGCGCCACCCTTGCTCGGGCTCAACTATAATAGTTCTCCAAAGAAAGCACATTTTCAGTGACTGCAAATTCTTTATTGTAATATGTTAACAACTAATACAGTTATTGATAGTGATTATTATTGTCGTGATGGAATAATAGACAATAACTGGATTTACGTCAGGAGAAACATGTATAGGTGTAATTTTTTTGTTTTTGTTTTTTTTTTGTTATTATAAAAAATTATTATTATAAAAAATTAATTAAGCGAATGATGGTCTATTATGAATTATGAGGAAATACGTTTTTGAACCACAGACGGCAGCTTAATATTCATCTATGTTACCGGATCTTTAAAATTTCGTCTGCTATTAAAGTTAGTTCTTTTTTCATTGGTTAGTTTGGTAGTCATGGCTTACCAGTCGTTTTCAGTTGAACTACAACTAGGACTTGATTTAGTCGTAGTTAAAACTTCGACTACGTTGTTTGTGAATACAAATTGAAGTTGAAGTTGCAACTAGCACTAAATTAAGTTCTAGTTCGAAGTTCCGACTAAAGTTTGTTTTAAGAATACGGGCATTAGCGTTTCGTTGGAACGCAATCCTATTTCAAAAAAAGTACTAGCAGAAGTAGAGGGCATCCTTTAAAAGAGCGTAAAGGGCATTCATAAATAGGGTGCCCCCTATCTTGTGGTAGTATTAGTTTATTGCGTGCATACAAAATCAGGGCAGTCGGACCTCTTGCAATTCCATACACTTTAGGCCCATCAAAACAGTTGTTTACAATGATAAACCATGTATAGACTTAGTTACTGGTAAGCGAAATATAGTTAATGCAGGCATACATTATGATGAGAGAGAAGATGCTGGTCCAGGCTGATGGTGAAACTCTCCACACAGATGAATCTAAATATAAATGATATACATAATATTAATAATTACTTATATAAACAAGTTAGTTTATTTAATAACATAATAATATGTACCAATATACAAACATATTCAAAGTGCTAACATTAAAATAAATGATCACACCACAAAACAAAAGTAGCCAAGTCCAAAAATGTGAATATTGTGGTTGATTTTGTAGTTAAGCATATTATTCAGTTGTTATTATTCGGCATATTTAACTTTACAAAGTTAGCCATACGACAAAATTTGCTGATTCTTATGCACTAGGGCCAACTCGGTACATAAAATGCAGCCCTACGTGATTTGTGGTTGAAGACGTCTTATGTTGTGAGAATAATAAAAATATTTAATATTCTATGACACGATTGTCCCCAATGCAGTTACACATTGAGTCTGCGTTTAACTCACAAAGACATGATGTGACGACATATCACATTGTGTTGCATAATCTGATGCTGAGTTGGACTTTAGTCTACTAGTATTTACATGATTAACATACAAAAGCATAGATAGAAGCCATGTATTTTTCGCAATACAACTCCATTACCAAAATACATGTGATAAAGGAGCAACATTTTCAACAAAAGCAGGGAAACTTAAATTCTGATATACTGTACATACCTATGCTCAATGTAATGTATGTGTTTTCAGTTTCACCAATCCCATTGGTTGCTGAGCACTGATATATCCCATCATCTGATTTCTTAACACTTGGAAACACGAGTGAAGATGTGGATTTGCTAGATAACAAGTCTGTTTCTTCAGAGCCTGAGTGATCCTTCCACAGGAGACTTGCCAGTGGATAACCTGTGGCTGAACAAGTTAGAGTAACTTTCGACCCAACCGTGGCTTTAACTGAATAATTCTTGTTTATCTTTGCAGCAGCTATAATTAAATAAAAGTAACCTTTTAATTAGAAGCAAAAAAAACAAACAAAACAAGTACAATTTTTCACAAAAAAATTGCATTGTTGTTCAACTTTTATTTTCATATATTTTGGACAAGAAGAACACTACTGTATATTGTGGCAAAGACAAGCCAAACCAGTCACTCATCACAAAATTCAATTTGTAGTTATTAATACAGGGTTAAACAGTAAAATGAGAGCTATAAAATGGTAAAAGAATCATTTATATCTGATATTTCCGTAAGAAGTTACAAGCGTTTAAACATACACATTCAACCAATTTGTTTTGATTTACCATATCAACTTCCATCCAAGAATGAAAGGAAAGAGTATGTGCAAATGTGTTTACAGACCAGATTTCAATCCAGCATGTTCAGTAGCGGCTTGTATATAAATAATAAACAAAGGCTGTGTTTGCATTGGACTATGATCAAACATACTATGGTGTAGGCTTTATAAATAAAAAATATGTTTAAACAAATATGTTAGTGCAAATGATGTAGCTTATTATAAGTATTATTTTAAACACAATTTATTATACATTTGTAAATAAGTACACTTCATTTATTATTTACTGGCTTGGGAAATTTAATGCTATTCAGAAAATCAATTAAATTGACAATTCAGCACAGCCAATAAAAATAACAACTGATTGTTCATACTTTCTATGACTACTTCGTCTTTAACTGGAAGGATTTGATTATCAAGTCCACAGGAGTAGACACCACCATCAGCCGATTCAGCGTCGATTATCATTAGTTGGTTATCAGTCAAATGAAGATCTACTTCTCCATCATTATCAACATCTGCAATGATTTTCATATTGTTTTTTCTCCATATTACTGGTCCAGTCGCATTAACAAGTTGGTCATTACTGTCTCGTAGTTCGCAAGTAAGATTGGTACTTTCTCCATAGGTAATACTTGCATCGTCTGGTAATAAATCTGTGACTGGAACTTTAAGAAAATTGCATAGTGACGCGATCTATTCATATTCTGCATTCTACATCAAGGCAGAGGTTAGGGTCATAACATTCTAATAATAAATAATAATGAATATTCTATTTAATTTCCCTTCATATATGAGGCATCATGTGTCTACTTAATATTTAGCAAAAATTGACATGTTTCTTTTTATGTTATATATTTATATATATTTTATATAATATATAATACTGTATATAATTTTTTATATAATATATAGTATTTTATATATTATATAGCAGCAGTTTTGCGCAGCGGTTGAGGTTTGGGCTTTTTAATCATAAGGTCGGTGTTTCGAGTCTCCGCTGTGCAGATTTTCAAATTCACCAGTGTACCTATCTAAAGGACTTTAAATTGCACTAATCACACAGCTGAGAAAAAATTGTTTAGAGAGCCTTTAAATGTTTGCAGTCTTCAGTCAATTTATAAAAAAATCAGAATCATCTTTAACTTTCATAAAAAAAATGTAATTGGCTCTATACTACTGTGTAAGCGGAGGTATCTCACAAAATTTTATAGATCAAGATGAAATTATGTCATGCGATGTACAGTAAGACCCGCGATTCTAACTGATCACCAGGCAATCTCTTTAAAGTTTGGACTAGATGAAATTATAAGAGGCCCAGGATACCGGAAATTAAATAATAACCTACTGGATAATATTGACTACCAAAAGTTTATTATAAATATTATTCATAAAACACAGGCTAACGAAACAGACCTTAGTCCCAATCTACTGTAGGAATTAATAAAAGTAGAAAGGAAAAAAGTTTCAATTTATTATGGTAAAAAATAAATGAGCAAAAAAATATAATAAAATAAAATCTACAAAAACATATAAAACGATTGTATGATGATCTGGTCAATAATGTTAGCATTGCGAATGAAAACATTGAGCAGAAATTGAAGAAAAGACAACAAAATTAGAAAAAATACATGAGAGAAAACAAAAGAGGCGTTACATCCCCAGTAAGGTCATTTCACCACTAGTAGTGGCGTCCCCTACCACTACAGAACAGGGGCAGATGCATGTGTTTCCAGGCTAATGTGAGTTCCCCTTGATTTATATCTCTTAGCTTATTCATAGCACACTTGTGGGTACTGATTTATCTGACTGCTGCATAGTCTTTCCACACCCCACCCCCTCCCCTCCAGCAAACAGGATCCGCATTGTAGAGCTTATTTATCTAATAAACAAGAAAGAATAATAGAAACGATTCTATGTTTTAAAATTGTTCAAATGCACCACATCTCCCAAACCCTGGCCTACCTAACCTAGTATTCTTTGTGCACATTGTGCAAGTACTAAATTCTAGTACTTGCTGGCAGAAGCTAGCGAAATCAATTCAATCTCTTATAGCTTTTTTGGTTTTGAAATTATTATCACTACAACAGCCATCATTACAATATTGGGCAGATTAAGCAGGAGAGGCTTGCAGGTCTGCTGTAGGGTTTCGTTTAATAATTGAATAGTTAACTTTAAATTGGTAAAATGAGAGGGGGGAAATGTGGAAACATGAGTAAGTGATGTGGCTATAATTATGTGAACATTTGAGACTAACATTAACATAATTTAAATCTACAATTTACCTTCAACAATGTTAATATCTGCCTGTGCAACAATTGTACCATTCACCTCACAATAATATGTATGGGAATCATCTATTTGTGCATATATCACTGTCAGGATACTGTATTTCTCCTGGGCGTCCACTGACGTTACCACTGTGGAGTAATCTGCATTTGATTGAAGAGGACATTGTTGCTGCAGACACCACTCAATTGAATATGCAGTTACATCGACATTTCTGCAGGTACAGCGCAATACTACATCTTCGTTGGGTCTTTCAGTTATTGATGAGGGATCAATACTACAATCTATAAAGATGAAATTATGAATAATAATAATAATAGTAATAATAATAATAATAATAATAATAATAATAATAATAGTAATAATAATAATAATAATAATAATAATAACAGTAATAATAATAATAATAATAGTTCATTCTTATATAGCACATTAAGCAAGCTCTCAATGTGCTGTACATAAAAACAGAATAAGAATGTATGTGTTTAAAGATATTGCAAAACAGGTATTGCCATTTTTTTTTTTTTTTAGTATTCCTGAATCTTTGTATTCTTCATTATTAAATTTAGTAGTCGTTATAAATTCAAGTTGCAATCTTCTATGTTCACAGAATAAGTTGGTAAATAATAGTATAATATAACAAACTACAATTGTATAATCAAACTGAGTTGAATATTAATGTACCATAATGCACATACAATATAAATTGTAGGCAATTAACAATAATGAGAATTCACTAAGTGAAATACTTGCTTAAACAACAATATGCTCAAAGTCTAGATAGATATTATGATAATCAGCAATAATAGGATTGATAAAACTGGGTAGAATGCCGATAATGGTGATATATTATAATATATATAATGGTGATATTATGGTCCAAACCAATCCAATCTTTAACTTATAAGGCCAATTTGTTTCGGCAACTGCTGTATAACAAACAAGTATAATGTGAGAAACTAAAGTTATAGGCCTATTCTGGTAT